TATCCCCGGAAACTCATCGCGTCGCATAAAGATTCGAAGAGAAGGCGGCTTACAGGTTATTCAAAGTTAACGTGCCATGTAACTCAGCGGTCTTCGTGGTTCGCCGGATAAGACGGGTACGCCGTAAGTACATTTTAAAAGGTAGCTCGGGGAAAAAAGAGAAACCAGAAATTTCTCTCTCTTTCTTTCGCATTAATGCCTGGAAGATACATTGATGACGGCAATAAAAAGAATTGAATATAAAACTGAGTGTATATGCACAGGCATTAGAATCGCGCAGGAAAGGAATTCGAGTTTACGGTCAACTAACTGTAATTATCCTGTGCCACAATAGGACAACGTTATGGTACTACAAATGCTAACCCAAGCCCCGCCTCTCTAAGAGCGAGAGATTACTTTACATTGGAGGTAAAAGTAATAAAAATATTTTAAAAAAACGTTGGATCATATATATGTATATAATCTTACATTTAAATTGTCCTTTTAAATTTTTAATTGCAATTAAATTATAATTAAGATAGATAATTTGTCTTAGATATTCGAAAAGAGGATCGATGTAATTGTGCAATGGAACAAATGGTGGAGTAGAATTGAAAATACGGATGAAAACGCAACCACTCGTCTTGCGTCCGTATTTACTTCCGCTTTAATGACGTCTCTCGCGGTCGAAAGACAAATTACATGGCACTCGCGTTTTCCGGAAAGTACCTAGGAGTGTGTCTTTCCTGTATCGAATGAACCAAAGTTCCATTCGGCGACGTAGATTAGCGCTACTCGTGCACGCGCGCAAGATTCACTCTCTCTCTCTCTCTCTCTCTCTCTCTCTCTCTCTCTCTCTCTCTCTCTCTTTTTCCCTCTCTCTTCTCCCCGCTCAGGTATTATACTTGCAGTCGCGGTAAGAAGTTGCGAATCAACATCTCGTTATCCGGGATTCGAAAACTTTCGCGTCTGTACCCAGCTAACTTCCGGACACCGCTCCTCTCCTCATCACTCACCTATGTTTCCACTCGCATATTCCCGAGAAGAGGCTGATTGTTACGCGACCTTTTGTATAATTTCCGTCTATCTCTCGAAGAGATTGAAGTCTCCTCTTTTGGGGTCACAACAAAAGTAAGTAGACGAAGTTGAGAAATCCAATTGATGAAACAGCAGATTGTCGGCCGGTACAAAGAAACTCGCGAAAGATCCTCAACAACATCGATAACAAGGCATTACAAATCTCTTTCCCTTCTTTCTTTCCTCCTTCTTTCTCTGTCTCTCTCTCTTTTTATCTCTCTCGATTTTCAATATACATATTATTCGAATAACGACTTCAATGATTTCAGCAAAAAAATGCAATGCGAATGAAGATTGAAGCGATAAATGAACACAAAGTAAAAGCTGAGAAAATTTTTGTTTTGCTAAAACTATATAATATCTTGTTGTTAATGAAAAGTTTAATTTAAGAAAAATAATTAAATAGCGAAAATATATGAACCACTATATAAGTGACTTATCTATCTACAACATATTTAATCATCTTCATAATCACATTCATAATCATATTAATTATTTCAAATATCTCATTTTCATATTATTAATTAATCATTGACGAGAAGACGTAGTTGATTACCGCCTAGAGGTTGATATCTTTGTCGTCCACAAAGTATGTCATTAAATCTCGCTCCGCGCGATTAATTTTACAGCTCAGTGTCATCAAGGGAGCCGAAAACTTCGAGACGCCTCTTCTCCTCGTATCCTATTTCGGCAGGATCTGGTCTGGCGTAGTTTCCCTCATGCTCTCTCCTTTCTCCCTCCCTCTCCACAGGGGATCTCTTAATACGCGAACGGTGTACAATTTCGAAACTTAAAGGGCGAAGTCAAGAAGGGCTCGGAGCAAATTTGCCTAAGTTCCTCGACTTCGCTTCCTCGTTCATCCCTCGAATTATTTCGAGCTTCTATCCGCCGGTAAAAGTAATTTTGTTCCCGAACATGGAGAGAGAGAGAGAGAGAGAGAGAGAAAGAGAGAGAGAGAGAGAGAAACCGAATAAGATCGGCATCGTGCTGAACCGAGCCGAGCAGGGTCGAGTCGAGCTGGTCGAGTCGAGCTAGTCGAGTCGAGATGGCGGCAGATTCGGTGGAAAGGCAACCGGGGAAAGATGCTTTTAGTTTATTACCTCGAGGAAATTACACCGGCGAGAGAGTCTCCGGTCGGCCTCGTTATTTTTTTCCCCCCTTTTTTGCTGCTCTTACGCCAGAAGGCACCAAGTGTCGCGACGTCCGCGCGGGGGATTTAAAATCTGCTGCTCGAAATGTGTAAGCTCCACCGCGCATTTTGAGGAATTACATTGGGTCTTACGTTCGTATTATACCGTATCTCGCTCCGGTCGTTTCCACAGTGCGTGTAAAATCGCTGCGCTTTTATATTCGAGGGGATTTTACCCTCGGCAAAGTACGGCGCGATTTCCTCCTCAGAAGAAGAGAGATTTAAACAGAGGACGTATATTAAAAATGAACTATATTTTTTTGACTTATACTTATTAAAGGAACGCCCAAACTTTTATGCGTTATTTCTATATGTATTTTCTCTTTAAGAATTTTCTTTTTTCTTTTTAATTTCAAATTTACGCTTCATCATCAAATGAATTACTTTCGATCAATGACCGTCAATCTTCTTTGATTGCATCCACTTGCGATTATTGGAATAGCTTAACAAAAACGAGTTGAAACGACCGATATAAATGTTGACGTCATTCTGAGAAAATATTTCTCCCTCTCGATTCATGATCATAATAAGTTTCTTCCACGCCGATTTACATAAACATAATCTATCGCGCCGCGTTATCGACTACTATATTACTAACTTTAAAACTTTTCTACGTCTTTTTTTAGACGCCTTTCGTAAATGTGCAAAGCGGAAAGTTTCGAGCGAAATTAAGCAAGGCTTGAGTTTGTTTTTCCGCGCTTTTATGAAGTTGATGAAAATTGTAAAAGACCTATAATTATTGCGAATTTCGGACATGGGGATTTTTATCTCGAAGCTATGAAATATCAATTGTCACGAGTTACCATATCATTCTATTAGCGCTATTAAATTGTTGATATCGAAGAAACCTAATCTGTATTCATTTTTAGTTATTTCCCGCAATGAATGTATTAAATAACTACAGATTCCTACACGTATTGTTAATAAATTGGTTAATAAATCAGTTTAGCTGTGAAACAAAATATGTGTCAATTATTTTAATGATTATACGATTGCAATGGCATATTCCACATGGACACGTTCAAATGATCAAAGTTCCCGCTATCTTCACTAGCGAGGATGAACGAACGAAAGTTTCTAATTCACTTTAATTAAGCGTCACCACGAGCCAGCCGGATCGTCGACCGAAAGAGCGGCACGCCTGTCACTATCAACGGCAATTTTCCTTAGTGTCTGAAATCGCGTGGATTATCAGAATATCGGAAGATCGACGACGCGCTCGCCGGAGGTGCCTTTAATGTAACCGGAAATTACGAAAGAGACGGCTTTTATCGGATGCCAGATGCGACGCAGCTTCGCGGGCGTCTCGACGTGTCCCGACAACCAAATTGAAAGCGGCCGCGTCAATAATCCGCTTTTCTCTCGCGCGTTATTCTGCGGGAGTTATCTCGAATCCCACCTCAATGAAGGAATCTAAAATCTTGATGAAACTGTGTACACAACTGGATATCAAACTGCGTACACAACTCAATATAATGAATCTAAAAACATATATTACTGTTTAATTGAAAAAATTAAAAAATTAATAATTAAGCATGAATCCATATAATTTGTGGAATATTCGATTTGAATTAGATTTGATCCTCAGTTATCATAGTCAAATTTCACTAATGTAATTATATTCCGTTCTTGCGATTAGATTTGAGCTCGGACCCAAGCGAGCGCTATGAGGCTAAAACAGAGATTTTAGAATTGAGAGTTAGATTTTCGGTCCTTCGTATGCTACGGCTATTTAAATATTCATCGTTCGACAAACGAAGTCGGGAGTCGATCAGAACGACATCGGGATTTACAAGTATCGGAATATCGACGTGTATGCGAAATCTCCAGATCGGTGTTCGGTGATCGATACGTTCGGGATTTCCCATAAATGTTAACGACGGGGACCCGCCGTCGTCGCGTCGCGTCGGCTTCGTCGTCGCATACGTGGAGAGCTAATTGGACCGCGAATGTACCTAATCGAACCTAATGCGAGCAGCCGAGGCCATGTCTCGGGCTCCGGTAACGGGCCATGAATTATCGATAAGCCGCAAACGCCCCGCTCGACCCACCCCCGCTATCAATGAAGTCGCATGTGGAGGATGACGATGCATGGCTCGCGAAGACAATGCGAGCGCCATTCTCATTCTGATAGCGACAACATGACTCTTCGAGCAACGGTAAACTAACGTGACAGATAGAGACGCGGTAGACAGAATCTAATTAAACCTAGCAAGACCGAAATGCATGACCGTCTGGACAATCAAATGGAACAATGATGTAAGCTACATCTTTTCATATAAATTTGAAAAAATTAAAAATCTCCTAAGATATTAACTTTACCAATAAGATTCGAAAATTTTACGTTATGCAACAAATAACTTAGACATATTGTTTGATGACATGTTTGCACCGTCTGTAATATTTATTGTAATTTTTCATTTTTTACAATATAAATTTGATATTGAATATTTGGAACGTATATATACATATATTACAAACTCTATTATATAACCATTCTCGATTCGAAAAATTGAATTTTGTGTTATTTCCGGAAATTCCATTATCTCGTAAATACAATCAAGCGTTGATTGTCTCGGAAATAATATTGGTTGCGCGCTAAAATACGTTTATACATATACAGTCGCAGGTAAGCCCTAACTTCGAATGAAATCCGAGTATAGATCCGTTGCTAGAGAATGGCATCACGTCTCTGCTGCTACAAAAATTCTCCATTAACAAAGCAAATACATTTCCGTATTCTTTCTGTCCACAGACAAGACCGAACAACGAAAAGAAATCGATAAAATTGAAGGATCTCGTCCTAGAGAGCTCTGGCCAATACAAGTGCGAAGTTTCTACCGAGGCACCATCCTTTGCTACCACTTATCAGACTGCCAATCTAACGGTGATACGTAAGTATCTATCATCTCTTAATAATATTGGGTAACCGAAAAGATTCGTGTGCCATTTTCAATGTAAAAACACAGCACTGAGAAAATTAAGTGATAAAAGCTACGTTTGGTCAGCCTAACCTATTACAATAACATACTTACTCGTTAATATATTTACCGTTCCCAGTCACCATTAAATCTGTATGTTTCATTAACGTTTAATGTCTTTTAAGTTCCATTAATACAAAGGCTTTGCCTTTACATACTTTATTTTTATTTACATGCATTTTTTTTGCATTATTTAAATATATTTTTATCGAAATCTCGCAATTTTATTAAATTACTTAGCAAGTTTGTACTTTTCTGCAGTACTTTTTTAATTAATTTCATCTCAAATTTCATTTATACTTTCCACATTTTTGGTGACAAGCTTATAAATATGTGATAATATCGTCTCGTTACACAAAAAATACTAGTATCCCATTAATTCACGAACGTCCAATAGAGAATCTCGTCTGCCTGTTTGAGTTACCGCCAACAATATCTGCCATTATGGGATATTTATGTATAGCAGCGTACGATAAACTATTTCAGTAACGCCCGCGTGGCATGCTGTTTTATTGTAAAATAGTTGTCCACCAGCAACCATTTCGCACATCCTCGCGCCATTAATTCGTGTCTTGTGAGTGCGCTCTCGAATATACTTTTTAATTATATCCGCATTCAGTTCTGTGTTTTATTGTTCTGTGTGCACATACGAATAATGATATTACATGACATGTATCTCCAATTACAATATTTTACCATATTTTTCAATATTTTCTTATACGTAAACTATCATGTACGCTCGGAAAAAATGCGAGATTTATTTTTCTAATGAAAATATATCACCATTTTCTTCATTTATTATAATTTTTTTATTCGCAGCAAAAGATTTATTTCGTACATTATGTCTCGAAAATTATATTTCTCTCAAAGTAATATTTATTTCAAAATTATAATGTAAATTTATATTTATTATTCTCTCTGAATTTTTGTAAATCAGCTGACAGATTTAATTATTAATTACAAGTATATTTAGAAAAAAGGAGCTAAATACTATTTACGTTAAAAAAATTATCGTTATTATCGATATATACATCTTTTCGAATAATTTTCATAATTCGTACGTTAATAAGCAATTACCTATATGATAAAAGCCATGCATAGGCCAGCCCAACCTTTTACGATAATACACTTACTGATTTCGTTCACGTTTCTACCGCTCCTGGTCACCATTAAATCTGTACGTTCCAATTAACAGTTTAATTATGTACATTATAATTCATACACGAATCACGTAAAATACGCATCCCCTACGTTTATCAAATTTTCCCTCGCTGAAGCGGCATCAGCGACACTAATTTGCCTGATTCAGCAATCCTAATAAAATTGTCCGCAATTCGATCGACATATAAATCGGCAAAATGCTCAACTCTGTCGGGCCACGAAAGAAAAATAGCATTATTACCGGACGTATCGTACTGTCAAAAATCAATCAACGAAACGGCAGCCTTTAATAACCACCCCGATTCGCGGTTCGTGAGATCAATTAAATCGTCATATGAACACGATCACTTTTCTTTCCTTTTTCATTTTTACCGGTAACAGAAAAGGCTTCGGAAACGACAGATGCCACGATATGAGTAAAATCTCTCGAAAAAGTAACGCGTCCGCAATTCTGGCTATCGCTCGCGGCTTTCAATTCTTGGCCGGAATATATGAATCATTCGCGAGTGACGAGACATGTCCAGAATAAAGCACTGTATACCTATCGAATAGTTATATCGTGGATTGAACGATGAGATCACAAACAATTTCGGAAATAACTTTCATTCTGCATTTCAAAATCAAATTTTGATATTTTAATATTACTACACAGTGTCCTTACTTTTAAAAATATAAAAAAATTACGATAGGAAGATTGATTGAAATTATATGCAGCTTAAGATTGCCAAAACTGCTTAATCGAATCATGTAACGTGACATAGTAAGTTAGTATTTTAAATAAATATTTAAAAAAATGGAGATGCAAAGCATTGTTTGATCCGTTTGATGAATGTGTGACGGTTTAAACCAGGAGAGCGAAACAAAAGAGGGAAAAAAGAAACCGGAAACTGGCGAGAGAGTAAAAAGAGAAACAGCAAAGAGAACTCGGACTATCCAATTTTTCGAGCTCGGCGTGTCGACCACGCGAAATTTGTTTCTGTCGTGACGAAGGTGCCGCAGGAACTACCCTCACCCCCTCTTCCTCCGCCAAAAAAAAATTTACGTCGTTTATCACTATACATCATCAGAAAAAAAAGAAGCGAGAAAAAACGTATTCGCCTATCCCGTCGAATATTTTCACGGATGCGAGCCTATCTCCGCTTTCGATTTGTTCGTGTCTGAATTCGCTGTCGAAGTGTTACGATCGAACGCAAATTTTGTAGAACCTGTGATCGCGTTTACCTAAAAGTTGTTTTCTCACAAACATCGTTGTTTCACGTCATACTCGAAGTGAAATTAATCGAATCGTTCATCCCAATGACGTCTGAATAAAAATAAAATCCTTTTTACGTCAAACTCGCATTTCTTTAACTACATTTCTGTAACTACAAAAGCACCGGTTTTTTGCTAACTACAATTCGTTGCGGTTCGATGAGGATAGCTTAGCAAACATAGATTGTAACGAGAAAAGAGTTTTCGTAAACATACACGATGGCAGTTGTGTTGATCGATACGGGTGGAAAATTACGGAATCGCGACATTTGCATAAAATAATTGAAATTGTTCGCCGACCGTTCCTGAAACACAATGAAAAAATTCGAGGGCAGCACCGGAACACTTTCGCGTGCCATTCCGCGTCGAATTAATTTTGCGCTGAATGAAAGGCGTAATTCGTAAATTCCCGGCGCCGGCCTTTGTGTTCGCATAATATTAAAAAAAAGTGAGAAGTAGAACAAAAATATTATTCGACGATGAATTCCGCGAATACCGTTGAGATCTTGTTGAAGAGAATATTGTGAACGTCATAGTCCCGATTATATGAAATCTAACGTGAAAAAATCAGGAAAATGGTATCAAAATATCTTTCAGACATTAGAGAAAACACTGAACGATAATGAGAAATTATCGGAAACTTAAAAATCGATCGCATGTTTCATTCAACAATTTGCGGACATGAATTTAATTTCGTAGAGCGCAATAAATTTTCACGAAGGCAAGCAAAAAGTGCAACGTTCATAAAACTGCGTTCATATCTTTCTGGTTGCTGATACTTTTCATAATGAAGAGTACGGTCATACGCTGCATTTGAACTACATATGAAAGAGATGCATCTAAAAAAATGCATAAAATGCTCAGAAATACATATATTCTCACGAACGCGAGCGGCTTAATGAAGCATCTTTCTGTCTAGTATACAGCAGCCATTCTACGCGTTTCTACGGGCATAAAAAGTCGCCAGAGTAAAAACATTACCAGCAAATGTTCTTTTCAGTGCTCTTATTGTTAGATAGTAAGCAGCGACCTCGTCTTATTGTTACAACAGCCATTAATGTCAAGTTAATTAATGACATAAATAGCTTTTTGCGAGTTATATACATATTAAAAAAAAATAAAAAACTAAAAAATTGAAATTGCGTACCATAACAAGTTACTTTAACTCTCACTCGAGATATTAAATAACTAAATTTGACAAAGTAACAATATTTCGTTGCATTCCATGACTCAATTTTAAATTCCGCGTGTAACACAATTTTCGTATAAGACGTTATCTTGGTCGCATTGTTCCAGAAATACCGCTAGAATATCGCGATGTCAAAGTACAGATGTAGAAATAAAAATATCTACCTAATCTGGGAAGCTCGAGCGAGACGGCATTTTCGAGAAGAGATACAAACTCCTGGATTATGCATGAGAGACGTCGTCGAGGATTTGGTCTTTTCTCGATCGTCCGTCCTGCTACGAGATATCCTGCCTGCTAGCTCTTTCGCGTCTTTTCGACAACATAAATCGACGGAGAACGAAGCAAGTCGGATAAAAATCAAAACTTCCACTTAATTCTCGAAGCACTTTGTTTATTAATGTTAAAGTACTATTTTTAGGCTGTATTTTTCAATATCGAATAATTTTTATAATTCAGCTATAGAATCAATATTTGGTAAATTTCGTACGTTTACAAAAGAGAAAATATTTCTTTATATTAAAATAAAATATTTACGATAATATTAATTTTATAACATTTCTTCAACATAAATATTCGACATAAATCAGTCAAGATCTTTCATATTATGCAAAAGGATAAAAATTATTATTATCGGATGTTCATAGATTACACAATAGTATCTAATTAGCGATTCATTCCTATAGCATACACAATGATATTAGTCAACACAATGTGATCGATCGATAATTCGCAGATATAATATTGCAAATAGATTGATTGCAAATATATATTTTCGTTAAAGAGCACAATTTTCTCTCTCTCTTTCTCTCCACATTATATCAATAAATCAATTCTCTATTCTAAAATAATATTACATATTATAATTATAGGATATATATGTGCCGTAAATATCATTAAATATTCGCATTTTAATATTATAATTCAAATTTTCACGCATTCCTGATACAATGCAGAATTTCGATTATCGAAACTAATTAGGTGAATATTGAAAGAGAAAGAGAAAGAAAGAAAGAGAGAAAGAGCGAAAAAATAAGAGAGAAAACTTGCTTGCAAAAACAGAATTGCTTTGTGTATGTGTATATATATGTATAAAACTGGAAAATGGAATCTGAAATAAGACAAATAGTTCACTATTCATGGACTAAATCTCGAGATTTCGAAAATGTTTGCAGCAATTTTATTCTAATGGAAAGCTTACATCAAAATTATAAGAAAAGTGCCATTAAACTTTTTATTACGATTCCAGTCTCCCAAAAATATTTTAAGCATTTTTGAATTCCGAAAAATTACTAACGCTTTGATGATATAAACA